GCAAACAATGTCCTTAAGCACTCTAAAAAGACGAGAAACGGTAAACAAAACCGACATCCCGAACACCCAAGTGCTGGGTGTGTTCTGTCATTATATTTGTGAGAAATGATGTTGATGATGGTGACTGAGTAGGCAAACAGGACTAAAACCCTAAGCCTAAACCACACAAATGAAGCCCAGGAGATGTTCAATGGCTTCGTAGCCAAGGCTGGCCTGGAGGAGCTCAAGGTGCGGCCCACACCAGATTCGGAAGAAAGAAGCAAGGTTTCGGCTTTTGGGGTATATGTTGGGATGTTCCCCCTGATACGAACAGTCCTTAGTAGGGATTCCAGTAGCCGTTGCTGCAATCCCTTTTAAGGACTGTTAGGTAGGGTGGTATTGAGGGGGGGGGAGGGGCTTTTCGGCTTCGGGATTTGGGGTTTAGGGGGCTGGTACGTGGGTCTGCGTTGGTTCGTGGGTCAACTTTGCCGTTCAGACTCGTCGTTTTGGAGCTCGATAGGTTGGCGAGGAAGACATTCTTTGGCAGAAGCCAAGGTGTTGGACGTCGTTGGCTTTAGACCAGTCCTTTTTCACAAGGGGATTCATTCCAAGATGCCTGCGACCGACACCAACTTGGCTGGCTCGGTGTGCTGCCAGCTGACTTTGCCTCCTCACCGAGGGACAGGCAGCAATTCTGGAACGCTGCCATATCGGCTACTTAACTATTTCAATCCGAATGGCAGTGATGCACTTTGCTTCTGAAACTTTCGTGGCTGTTGTCCTCTCCGGCGGCATCATGCCCAACAAGCGCCGTCAGCCCGTGCCAAACCGCCCAAGAGGAAGCTCCCCAGATACCCAACTTGAAGCTCCACTTGCTCCAGTGCAACAATTTTTGATTCGATTGCTGTGTCCCATCCTGACCTTGCAGTCCACAGCCCGACGAAGCTCCAATCGTACACATCCCAGCAGAATCCGCCAACAATTCGAAGTGAGACCGACTGCCTAGCTCTGAAGTCCAAAACTCCCCTTCCACATCCCAGCAGACCTTCTTGGATCCTTTGTTTAAACGCACCCCAGGTTTTGTCAAAGACTTCTGAAAACGGGTTCCGGGTCGACAAGCCCTCTCGGCCAGGTTCGGCTGGGCCAGGCTCTCCTTACCTCGTCGCTTTCGGGGGCGCTGGAGGCAGCCCAGGTCTCCTTGAGGGCGGCCAGGGTGGACAAGCAGGCCCGATGCACCCTATCGGATTTGCATCAGTTCAAGAGAACTGTACAAAGTAAGAGGAGAATGCCGAATTGCCAAGGACAGACCAACCCAGAGGTTCTGCAAGTCAGGATCTTATGGATAATTTCGATAGAAGTTTGTGGCCTTGGCGCCCACCTGGACATGTTGTGTCCAGGCTTCAAAGAGCACTAGCGGACGAGTTTTGGAGCCATGATGTGAATGTTCAAAGCCCGGGAAGAGGGCACTTTGTTTTAGTCGATTTCAGTCGCTTCATGGTCAGACCTCAGTGACTGTGGCCCGACCTCAGCAGATATTGCGTTGAAGATTGGTTGTGATCCAGTCTCAGTGCATGCGAGCACCTGATGCCTGGGATTCGAAGGGTATTAGCATGTAAACGAGCGTTCGTTCCCTGTACTACTACTGAGCCCAACTGGTAACCGCGCACACACACACACACGCTAAAGTACCCATTCGAAGTAAGCAGGCACCTCGAAAAGGTGGTCCAGCTTGTGCTACTGGTACACAGGCCGACACGCAGTTCGAACACCTTCCGTCGGTCGGCAGCTTGTTCATGCCGCTGCCACTTCCGCTACGCAACCTGGAGGACAGGCAAAAGCGTGCCCACTGAGACTTGACTTTGCGAGCCTGCAAACGTGCAAAACTCTTTGAACCCATGCAAGCCCTTCAAAGAAGGCTTCGTTGTGGATTTTTGTCTGACCAGGAGGAGGAGCGAGCCAGGCAGAAAGCGGAAGCAGCCGCAAGGATCCAGGCCAGTTCCCGTCCAGGGGAACCAGGCATCGCAAGACGCCGATTTTTTTTCGTAATTTCCCGAAAATCAGCGGTGCAGTGGATGGTGTGTTCAACCCCATCGCTGTTTGCCGAATGTATGGCCACAGCGTTCTTTCACAGGAGCCTGGGCTCCTCCTACCTGATGGTTTGTGCATGGCTGTAGACTGTAGAGCTACTCCTCATCACAGAGATTCTCCAAGGTGACAGGTTCCCCAAAAGGGGAACCCCAAGAATAGGTTGGGCTTCTCAAAAGACATGTAGGGACGTAGGTGCCAGAGATCCTTCGCCAAGCAGGCCATCCAGCGCGGTCGGGCGCAGCGGGCAGAGGCCAAGGCCAAGGCCAAGGCCAAGCCGACACCCGAGGCCGGAGCGGTTGTGGGGATCATCTTGTATATTCAGGTTCTCCGGTGCAAGGATCAATAGACATAGGGTTGAAGGGGTTAACGGTGTTTATAATGCTTACGGGCTTAGGGTTTAACGGGTCTAAGGTTAATGGTTTGTTTGATCTAGAGGGATAAGGTTTCGGGTTTAAGGTGTTGCTGACTCTTTCCGGCAAGGACATCATAGCCCGGATGCGGAAAGAAAGGGAGGAAGGGGTTTAAGTTTCTCCTAACGGCTAAGGTTTGAGTGGTTTACGTTTTAGGGGTTTGAGGTGTAAGGTGTAGGGGTTTCGGGGTTTAAGATGTAGGTCTTCAGGTGTTTATGGTGTACAGCATTTGGGGGTCCAATCTTTTTGGTTTAAAAGGTTAAGTTCATCAGGTTGGTTTAAACGTTTAAGTGCTTTAACGCTTGGGGGTTCAAGCTTTAGGGTGTAGGGGGCTTAAGGTTTATAACGTTAGGGTTTACGGTGCAGGGTTTAAGGGGTTCAAGGTTTAAGTTCAAGCGGCTTAATGTTTAGGGGTTTAAGGCTTAAGCCGTGTAAGGGTCTGACGGAGCTTGGATGCCAAACGGTTCAGTGTTTCAAGACATGATCAACGGAGGTGGGGGGATGTGGCTTCCCAGCTCTGCGACACGTCAGCTGCAGATTGGGTTCGTTCTGTGGGCTATGTCTTACGTACGTGGAAAGCTACCAAGTGCACGACCAGCATTCTGTTGTCAGGCTGCGCCAATTCCCTTCAAGTTTCTTCCGTCGGTCGGCAGCTTGTTCATGCCGCTGCCACTTCCGCTACGCAACCTGGAGGACAGGCAAAAGCGTGCCCACTGAGACTTGACTTTGCGAGCCTGCAAATGCGCAAAACTCTTTGAACCCATGCAAGCCCTTCAAAGAAGGCTTCGTTGTGGATTTTGTCTGACCAGGAGGAGGAGCGAGCCAGGCAGAAAGCGGAAGCAGCCGCAAGGATCCAGGCCAGTTCCCATCCAGGGGAACCCGGCATCGCAAGACGCCGAATTTTTTTTCGTAATTTCCCTAAAATCAGCGGTGCAGTGGATGGTGTGTTCAACCCCATCGCTGTTTGCCGAATGTATGGCCACAGCGTTCTTGTTGCCATTATGGGAACAGGCGTGGGCTCGTTCCACATTATGGTTTGTGCATGGGCCATCTGCTGTGTATAGCTATTCCTCATCACGGAGCTTCTCGAAAGGTGACAGGCCCCCTACAAAGGGAACCCCAAGAGTAGGCTCGGCTTCTCAAAACACATGTAGGGACATAGGTGCCAGGGATCCTTCGCCAAGCAGGCCATCCAGCGCGGTCGCGCGCAGCGGGCAGAGTCCAAGGCCAAGGCCCAGGCCAAGGCCAAGGCCAAGCCGACACCCGAGGCCGGAGCGGCTGTGGGGATCATCTTGTGTGTTCAGGTTCTCCTCGGTTAGGGGTTCAAGGTAGTGTAGGGGCTTAAGGTCTTGCCGCGGTAAGTTTAAAGTTTAGCTGGCTCGTGCCCGCAGAAGAAGAATGCAGTAGTAGCATAGTAGCAGCAACGGAGTTGGGGCCGGGGTTCAAGGGATTTGGTTTCCCAGCAGCTGGGTGGTCCGTCTGCTCTCCCATGCCATGCTTTCCACCTCACATCGGAAAGTGTTTCTCAAGTGCGGCTGAGACTTCCCGTGAGCTGTGTTACCGAAGCACGGCATTGACTGGCATAGGCTTCGAAGGGCTTTGCACTAGTTCGGTAGCTACGGGGGATGGCAACGACCTCACAAGCCGCCCTGGGCCAAGCCAAGCCCCCCAACGCCGCGACCGTGGTTTGTCCTGACTCCCGGCCTTCCTTCCTTGGAGGAGATGGAGAAGCGCAAGGCCCTGCTGCGAGCAGCGTTGGAGGGCGCGCTGGAGGATGGGTTCTGCGAGTTGTCGGGTTAGTGTTTTTCCATTGCATGGACCACTTGGTGTTAAGGCTTTTAAGGGTTTAGCATGGGTGCAGGTGCTGCGGACCCCGCGACTGCGCACATCTTGACATCTTGCAAAGCTTGCACGGCTCGATGCAAGATCGAAGCACCAATAAACTCATAAACTCTCAGAGCCCCGAAGCTCTCAGAGAGATCCGGTGTGAGAGCCGAGCGGCCAGGATGGCACCTTGGAGCGTGTGCTGTCCGAGGCCAGGGCCGCAAGAGGGTCCGAAGGATCAGAATTTAACGCAAAAAAGACCCAAGGCGCAGAAGACCTTCAGTAGTTGAGCGCTGCGCGTCCGCCTCCTCCCCCCGAAGAGCCTGTAGAAGGATCGCAGTTGGCCTCGGAGTCGCGAGTTGAGGGGGTTTGGGACTTAAGGTTCAGGGCTTCAGGGTGCAGGGGTGTCCCCAAACACGGGTCGCCCATCTTTGAAGGGTTTGGGTCTTGGGTGCCTATAGGTGCGTGGTCTCCAAAACGCAGGGGGGGTGGAGAGCAAGAGATCGAGGAACATGGTGTTCCTATAAACATATGAGAACCTCTGAATGCCTTCCTTCGGTCACAGCCGAGGCGAATTTTCGGAACACGAATGAACATCGGGAACCGCCATAACTTTTGGGAGCGTTGCCCCGTGAGGCCTTTGCCGACGATCTGACAAGCGATCAGGCCAGGGAGTTTGCATACAGCCGGGAACGTGGGATGGGAGGGTTCTTGCACTGCTCTTGCCCTGTGGAGGACAAGCAGGCTGCCATGGAGAGACTGCGCCGGAAGCTGGTCAATGACCTGACGAGTGCAGCGGAAGATGGCCGCCTGGAGCAAATCCTCGCCCGCCCTCCGACAGCCCAAGCAGACCAGATGGAGCTCATCCGCCAGAAGATGGCACGCAGCATGTTGGCTGCTGCCGAAGACGGTCGACTTGAGCGTGCCCTGTCCCAGGAGCTGCACAGACAAGATCTCGAGCGCGTGCGGAAAGCCGCGGCAGCCAGCATTCTTGCAGCGGCAGAGGATGGGCGCCTGGAGCGCACACTCTCTTCAGGGCAGAAGAAGAGAGAAGACCTCGAGCGCATGCGGAAGGCAACGGGAGAGAGAATACTTGCAGCCGCAGAGGATGGACGACTGGAGAGAGCACTCAGCTTGGAGCAGCAGAAGAAGCAAGAGACCGAGCGGGTGCGGGAAGCAGCAGCCGCCACCATACTTGCAGCCGCAGAGGACGGGCGGCTGGAGCAAGCACTTCGCGTGGAGCAGCAGAAGAAGCAAGATCGCGAGCGAGTGCGGGGAGCAGCGGCCGCCACCATACTGGCAGCTGCAGAGGATGGGCGACTGGAGCAAGTACTCTTGGAGCAGCAGCAGAGGAAGCAAGAGCGTGAGCGAGTGCGAGGAGCAGCGGCGTCCGTCCTACTTGCAGCCGCAGAGGATGGGCGCCTCGAGCAGGCACTGAGCCGAGAGCAGCAAAAGAAGGAAGATCGCGAACGGTTACGCAAGGCAACAGCAGCGAGTATACTTGCAGCTGCAGAGGATGGGCGACTGGAGCGCACGCTAACGGCAGAGCAGAACAAGAAGGAAGATCTCGAGCGAGTGCGAAAGGCAACAGGTGCGAGCCTTCTGGCTGCTGCTGAGAGTGGAAGATTGGAAGCAGTACTGGCTCAAAAAGGCCGAGAAGTGGAGATTGACCGAGTTCGCAAGAAGATTGCCGATGGATTGCTGCTTGCAGCTGATGATGGAACGCTTGAAGAAGCACTGGAACGCACCATGCGGAAGGGCAGCGACAAGCCGATGGAGGACATTCAGACTGTATAGGAGCATGTACAGTAGGAGTCTCATTGCAGAATTGCAATTAGTGTTGTGTTTAGCCCACCTGCCAGACTGTCAGGACATCCGGAATCGCATGGCTGCCAGCTTGCTTGAAGCGGTTGAGGATGGCAGTTTAGAAGCCTTCCTGACGTCCGGACAAGACCTCCAAGTGCAAGAGGCCTTGCAGGACACAACATCTACAGCCCTCACAGGCCTGCCCTCTGATATGCAGTACACCGGCATCGTGGACATGGCAAACCAGACGGCTAAGAGCCACATGGCGGCGCCACGTCGTGCCGCTGTGGTGCAGCGGGTTGTGAAGGAGTACGAAAGAAGGACACCCCCCACCCCTCCCCCCCAAAAAAACAAAAAGAAACAACAAAGGAAGGGACAAAAGGATGATGTACCGACGTACCCCGTACTGATCAGAAGACCAGCTGCCTTACTTGCTGCAGGATAGGCAGCTTATCGGCGGCTGTGCAGCAGGCACAGCTTTTGACAGGGAAGCCTGGAACTAAGCCGCCTACCACCCAAGCCCAAGCCCAGACACAGACATGGCCTGCGGACTGCGGAAGCCCTACGCCGCCTGTGCGGTCATATCTTTCACACCCGACAGTCTCGATAAGCCCCAAAAACAAACAATCGCCCTGCAGTATCCCCAGTGTATCCCCCTTACCTTAAACATCTTAAGCCCTACGCCTCCCTGGCACAGGCCGAGCGAAGCGTCATGGAGCGCCTGGCCGAGACCAACTCCCTTGAGGTGGGACCTCAGGGCTTCTGTGACTTTAGTGCAAAGCTTTGCCACATGAAGCCCTA